TACAAGGTTTTTTTATAAGGTTTTACAAGTTATAAGATTTTACAGTTGTTATAAGGTGTTACAAGTTTTTTACAAGTTATAAATTCATTATATAACTTTATAAGTACCTTGTAAAACCTATTAATATACATTGTAAAACCTTACAAAACACTTGTAAATACTTCGTAAAACCTTTAAAATACCTTGTAAATTTTTCCCGCCAAAAAAATTTCGCCAAAAAAATTGCGGAATCACTTTTCTCGCAAAAAAAAATTTTTGGCGGGAAAATTTTTTGGCGGGAAAAATTTTTACGGGAAAATTTTACAAGGTATTTTAAAGGTTTTTTACAAGTGTTTTGGCGGGAAAATTGCGGAATCACTTTTCCTGCCAAAAAATATTTTGTATTTTGTGGACCTAATTTTGTTTCAAATAAGGGTAAAATGGTCATTAAAAATTAAAAGAGGGCAAACTTAAAAATGGACTCTCAAAGGGGGCATTTTTGAAAAGGGGTATTGAAAAAGGGGCATTTTTAATAATTTCTCAAGATAGTATACCACGGATGAAATCCTAAAATTAACAATCAAAATAATCTATCAAACAAATTACATTTTGATTTTTTTAAGAAAATATAGCCCAGCGGTGTACCGCGGGTAAGTGGTAAAACCAAAAATATTTCGGTGAAATGTGGTATAACAGCTAATTTTCTCTTAAAACTATATTAATATCGTGAAATAATAATAATATATTATTATTACAGTTACTACAAACATTTTAATTTATTGGGATTTTGTAAGACGCAACTACGAACTGTATAACCAAATTTTAAAACGTGCCGTTTTATATCAAAGAGAAATTCTTCATCTTTCAAAAGCACCTTCTTTTCAATTCTCTGTTTCTTTTTTTTTTTTTTTGTGTGGAAAAGAACAAGACCTTAAGTTACAAAAATGGGTAAAGAAGAGAACAAACAACCTAAATTAACAAAACAAAACTCTATCATCTCCTATATTTCATCATCTTTGGAACTAAATGAACATAGTGTCCTTTCTTCACCATGTCTCTTATTACCTTGCGAGCCTCTGAAAGCTTCCCTGCCTTTCTTAAATAGCTCACCAATGTACTATACACTACGAAATTCGGGTTACACCCTCTAGATTCCATTTCCTTTAGCAACCAACACGCCTCTCTGAACTCTCCCGCCATACACAACCCGCGAATCATCGAGTTGTATGTGAATACATTTGGTAATTGCCCTTCTACCGTCATCTCTTTAAACATCTCCTTTGCCTTCTCGAGCTCTCCAGATACAACATACCCTGTTATCATCACTGTGTAACAAACAACATCCGGTCTGCACCCAGCTTTCACCATTTCATCTAGAAAGTACTTGCATGCCTCCAGATTCCCTGCACGGCTCAGACCGTCTATCAAAGTAGTGTAATGGAGGACACTCAGGTCGATTCCTACTTCCTTCATATGGTTCAACGTAGTAAGAGCAGCGAGCGGTTTATTTCCTTTCCCCAAAATGTGCAGCAAAATGTTGTATGTGTAGAAATCCGGAGACAACCCATCTCGAGCCATCTCATCAAACAGCCTGTCGAATCTATCCATTTTCCCTAACCTATAGTTTGTCCACAAGAGAATGTTATAAGTCAGAACATCAGGCGAAAACCCGTCTTCTAACATCTGCTCGTAAACCCACTCGATCAATTTATACTGTTTTACACCTAGCAAAGAATTCAAAATCGCATTATAAGAGTGTTTGAAAGGTCGGTAATTGAAAGTCTTGGACTTCATAAACTGCACAACAGCTTGTTTCGCCAAACCTGCTTCACCGCAACTACAAATCAACAGATTAAACGTCCTCGCTGTTGTCGGGAATCCGTCTTGAACCATCTCATCAACTAATCTCCACATTGCCTTATACTCTCCACATTCTGCAAATATCTTCATAAGCAGATGATAAGAATTCACTGTGTGCCTGAAACAATCTTGTTCTCCAGACCACACGAAGAATCTATAAGCTAATCTCGCACATCTGGTCTTATTATCATAACTCAAGTTCCTTAAGATCCCTACAAGAACCTCCCTCACTAGAAGCCCTGAGACTCTAACATTCAATTCATCTAAAACTGAATTCGTATTAAATCCAGATTCATCTAGCTGCAATGTCTCGAGAACACGAGACGCACCAACCTTGGCACTCTCCAAAAACCTACTCCGAACAGAGATCACTTCTCGATCGATGCTTTTGAGCTCAGTGATATTGGATTCCTCGTCAAATCCACAATCCAAATCTAATTCAGGGAAACCATTATCGATTTCATCACCACCAAAGTTCCCATTGCAGATTTTTCTGGAGCTGAAGAGAAAGCGATAAGCTTTACGAACTACATTTGTGCCGAAAACAAGTGCCAAGTTCATATCTGATCTCAATCCCCATTATTCTCTGTGATCTTTCCTGAAAAAATCAAATATTTCATTTCCAATTTCAATGTGAGAACACGTTTTGAAGACATAAATGTTTATACTGTGTTTCTTATTACCTGGATAATAGTCAAAAACCCTGAAGAAAAAATGCTTATCTTGCTCGTCGAGAAGACGACCTTATCGGATTCATCGATGACGATGGCTCCAGGGCCGAATCTGAGAGTGCGACTAATTGCACAGTCCCCAAAAATTAGGGTTTTTAGCAGAAGAAGATGAAGAAGAACTTACACTACTGAAGAAACAAAAAAAAAAAAAAAAAAGAATTTTGTTTGTTCAGAAAAGTTTTAAAATTATAAAAAAAGTTACTAGTCTAGATCCGATTCGAGCCAACCGGATCCGATTATGTCATACATGATACGAAGCCCACACACAAAGAAATGGATTTTATGGGCCTAATTTAAAACCTTCTCTGCCATTGAAGCGGTACAATACAAAATCTTTAACAAGCCAGCTTACTATAAGACCATCCACATTGGTAAACTTTTTAAAGGTGTCTTAAGTATAATTTACTATCAAAATTTAATCTAAGCATTTTCATCAACTTTCTCCATCCATTGGTGATTTTTTAAATATGGGTGTCTTTAGAAATTTTTTTTAATTTATATAGAAAATGTGTTGTTAGTATAATAATGTAATGTTACAAATGTTAAATGAAATTTATGTAAAATAAGAAAAATTAAACTATAAATTGTAATTATAGTACATTTTATAAAAACACAAATATATTACATTAAAAAACTTTTAAACATAGACTTTGTTGTTTTGTTCTTCACCACTTGATCAATCAGTCCTTCACGGGTTAAAACATGCACAAAGACAACGATAAGCAAACAATTAAAAACGGAACCAAACAAAACTTAAAACAGAACTCAACATCACAAACACTCAACATCATCACTCAAATCTTTTTACCTTTTTTTTGTCAGCTTGAGTACTATTAATATCAAGACTGGTCATTACAAAACTGAGAACTATCAAAACAACTTAAGACAAGACAAGACAAGTGTAAGATAAAACCTTAAGTAAAATCTGAAACAGCTTGCCAAAAAGGATTAATCCAAGAACTGTCACAGATTGCATAGGCTTGAAGATTACACAAGGATTCATCAATACACAAAAGAAGGATTCAGCTGCTTAAAATAATAGAAGGATTCAGCACCAAGTAAAAACTATCTTAACATCTCAGCAATTAGCTTGTTTTTCAGGCTGAGTTCAAGCTCGGAAAGCTCTGTTTTAGCTATGAGACTGTCTACAAGTCTCTGCTTGGATAATCTTTCTTTCCAAGCTAGGTCTTTCTCCTTGATCTCCCACATCCTCTCAAACTTTAACAGGGAACTAGCTTCACTTTCTTCACTTGGGTCTCTCTTTTTCGCTTTGCCTTTGGAAGCCTTAACACCAGGAGGGCGAGGACTTGCTTCTTCCTCCACAGGAGATGTTTTCTTTGAACTTGAGGAGTATGCGCCACCCTCATCTCGCTTAGTTCTTTTGGGGCTTTCAGTACCTTTAGATGTTTTTTCAGAAAAACTATATGGATTGCTAGGATCCATAACCTAAACAAGGAAAGATGGAGAAAAGAAGAAATGGTTTGGCTAGCTAGAGATATGGAGTCAGCATAAATAGCAAATAAGTTTTAGGGTTTTTTTCCATCTCCGTCAATGAGATACTTGAGTATCTCTTTGACAAAAGACAATTCTGACTCAGTACTTTATGTCTCGTCTCAGTCAAAGGAAAATTTTCAAAGTGTAGTTATTTTTTCAGTTTGGTTATGTTTTTACAGTTCCGATTTAGTTTCGTTGGTATTTAACTAACCTAAAACTACCAAGAAAGAAAACAGACACTATCAGCTTTTTGAAAACATACACTATAACTAATCAAATATAGTTATGAACTTAGATAGGAAATTACCTTTCTCTCGCAGGTCGAAAAACCAGCATAAAGAAACAGAAGCCAAGCATGATAAAAGAGGTTTACATGTTAATAAAAGAATCCGAAACTTAAGTAACTCAAATCGGGTAAACATCCATCCCACATATAAGATCTTAGTGTTAAAAGTATTGCAGGGAAAACAAGAAAAAGAAGAGCTGTCCTATCCTGTCTCCTTGTAAAAATACAAGTCTCTTAACAGATTCATTCAACATTGAACCAAGATCCAACCAACCAACCACATTAGTGGGGAAAAAAGCAAACACTAATTGTAAATCTTACTTTTGGTTACTTCCTAGACTATTAACAAAGTCTCCATAATAGTCCAACAAAAGGAAAAGATTAGCGAAGAACATCAAACCTCATAAGCATAGTTAGTCTCTCCACGTTTCATCTCCTCTACGCAATTGTTAACCATCTTCATCGTCTGTTTTACCAAACCAATTCAAGATTCTTCATGAGTAGTTCAAAACAAGAAGAGAACAAAGATTAAAGTAATACTTAATCACTATGTATAAAAGGAATTATGTACATCCAAAACTATAACAATGACATGGGAAAAAAACAAACAGCAAAGAACTTAAGTTTTCTTCTGCTGGGATTCGCCGGTAGGGAGAAACTTACTCTCCGGTGATCACAAATAACTCGCCGACGACCACATCAAAAGGGTATAGAAGAAACTACAATTTAGGCAAAGTTGCAAAAGCTGTGTGCTTTAAGAACATGTTGATTACCATTAGTAACAACATTAGAGTGTTTCCAACAATGTCCAAAGGTATCTTCTGCGGTGCAGTAGCATTGTCACTAAACTGTCATGCGTTCACATATTCGCTTCTTCTGCTGCTGCTAGTCGCTGAGACATTTACCGACATTGAACCTGAAAAGAAAAAACAAAATTTGAGAGTTTTTTAAGAGCGGAAAGATTTCATTGCTTTGGGGTGTCACTTGAGTTAAAGGGATGAGATTTACAGTCGGAGTTTGCGTTTGTCCATCCGATTCTCTGACCGACCAGATCATAGACAAAGACCTTGTCTTTAAGAACCAACTCTGCAGCAAAAGATGAGAATATGATCTGCACATATTACCAAGTTGTTGAGGGAAACTCCTGAGATAGGGAAGATCTTCCTTCTAATTAAAGCCAATGCTCAAGAAGCAGCCAAGAAGAGACTCTATGATGAGTTTCTATTTCCAAATCCATCCTTCCATTCTCGTCTAGATCTCCTTCACTTAGCTTTGTTTAATAGTTTTGCCAGTAGATCATAAGCTCGGATCTACTCAAGCTTCTGAAGCAAAGGCATGGAAAGTCGTATGATTCTTTCTTGAAGAGCAAGTTAATTCCAGTAGTTGGAGACATTGCAGAAGATAACTCTGAAACATCACTCAAGATTAGTGAGGAGATTGATATCATTATCAGTTCTGCTGCTCGCACAACCTTTGCCGACAGGTTCCTCTGTTTCTTTTGCTCTGTTTTTTTTTGGTTCTGTTTCTTTTGTTCTCGTTTCACCTAAACAAACGAAACAGGTGCGACTCTTCTCTGAGCTTCAAGGCTCTTGGAACTGGTCGGCTCTTGATCTTCGCCATAATGTTATTTTGTGAGAACCCGAGACCCAGAGCTCAGATACATGGCTGGGAAAACACCTAAACGTTCACAAAAGGCATGGGTGAAACCGTAATCCGGAGTAACCGAGGAGAGCTGCGTATAGTGATCATAAGGCCAAGCATTATTGAAAGCTCCAGCGATCTTGGCGTATGGCAAAGGACACCTTCCTGGATTTTGAGGAGATCCTCAAGCTTTGGTTGACATTGTACCTATTTATATGGTTGTGAACGCAGCCATAGCAGCCATGGAACACTATGGTCATGGTGTCACAAAGCTGTAAGTGTACAACAATATTACTTCATCACAGAGCTAAAGATTCTTTAGTATGTGTTACATTATCAAAAATATAAACATCTTTGTGAAATTACAAATGGTAAAACCCAAACAATCAAACCCGAGATCCCACATTTATATTCAATTATTTCTGATACAAGTAATTGGTGTCACACTGTGACTATCCTTATGTACAAAACCGTCGTTTAAAGAATCTGGCAAAATTCCGTATATATTAAATGATTAGTGGACAAGAAAATCAAACTTGTTCAAAAAAAACAATCGAGCATTTAGTGTTTTTAACCTCAAAAGACCATTTTGTCATTCTAGTAACGGCTCACGCAGCAGGGGCTTCGATAGTGATCCAGCAGCTTCGAGCTCCATAAAGAACGTTACAGCGACACCAACAAACGAGCACAATGCTGGAACAAGACCTAAACCGTATCTTGTAACCGAAAGGTAAACACTTTGTTGGTTGTTGTTGTTTAGTTGGCCTCTAGGTGAAGTAGCTGTAAACCAAAAACAGTTTCAGTACAAAATCGCTAACATGGTGAGAAATGAATGGTTTCTGCTGCTAAAAATCAAAACCAAAACTAAAACTTTATAGGGCCATGTCTCAGTCGTCACTATATTTGACTTACTTTGGTGTGACTGAAGAACATATAGAGCAAGCCCACAAGACATCTTGTCCAAGAAGCTTAACGAGCCACAGACAAACGCGCAACCACCGACTTCCGCACCAACCAACACACTCTGCATACTGATTGCTGTAACCTGTTGAATTGTATGGCCAATGAATTTAAATTAACCATATATAAGCATGGTTTATAACTGACAATGATATCAAAGTGAGCGGAAGAGAACAGTTTACCATCATTAATGCATTTGCGATGCCAATAAAGACAGATATCGCATACATGAAAGAACTTATGTCTCTAGGCAATAGAAGAATTGCTGCACCACAGAATATCCAAATTATTCCACCAGCTGTATAATACGCCTTCAAGCGTCTCCCGTTCCATGGAATCTCCTAACATCATTACGCACAAAAAATAGATGTAATTCCGTAACCTAAATGAAGGAAAACATAGAAGCTTTCAACATATGTATGAGAATTTTGAACCTGAAGCAGAACCGATACAACAAAGCTGCAGATATAGATAATCGCAGGAACCTGAAATATATAACATTTAGTCAGAGTAATTACATAAAACGTAAAATGATCATATGTAAGAGAAAAAAAGCTTATTGAATATATTACCAAAGCTTTAGCGGATTGACCCATTTGCAAATCATCGATAACGAAGAATGCAAGATATGCCTGAGAAGGATGGAATGCAACACCTGGTGTGAGAATTTACCACAATATGAACATAAACCGAAGCAAGAAAGAAAGCAGAAACAGACCTGAGAAACATTCAATACTAATCGAGTGAGGAGGTAAACCATGGCAACTTGATAGTATAGAAGTTTCCGGAACCAATAGACCCACGGTATTCTTGCTCGGCTAGTTTGTTTCAAATCTATCCTCAGCCTTTAAACAACAAAATGCATATAACATTCATATAACTATACACTCCTAGTGTTAAAATCAAGAATTCAGAGAATTGACCATATACACATACCTTGGCTCTTTTGTCCCCATAAGAAATATGACCACAAAGCAGCATCCAATCGTGATAGATGAATATGCAATCCAACGGTACTGCAGAGTTAAAAGAGAAAGCATGCATTCAATATTGAAACAGACTTACTCCAATATAAACATAATGGAGAAGTCAACACAAATTATGAAACCTGTGTTTCCGTATCTTCTTTTGAACCAGCTTTAATAACACCGAATACTACTAAAGCAATCGCATATAAGCCAAGATTAGCAACCTGAAACCAAATCAAGACGTCATTATGTAATCACATATAGAAGCATATTTTGGTACTAAACAAAGATCAGGGAAAGAGCTTGACCATAGTAAACGCGTTACGAGAGCTAGTTAAAGCAACTCTGCTTGTTGAGTTTAATGAAATGCAATTAACCATGGCCCTGAAGTGTATTTAAGTAAACAGACAGTCACACACAAGCAGAAAAACAATGGATATGGCTAAAGATGAAGTAAAAGAGATGAGATTACATATGGGAAACTTGAGTAGCAGCCCATCCAATGTTAAATATAGCTGCAAACATGCTGTAGGAGAAGGTTTCGAGCGTTAAAGAGTCGTTATGGAGGATCGAACAAGGCAGACAACCTCCGAAAACCGAGGAAAACGAGATTGCAACCAGTAATGATCCTGCAGCATGCCAAATCTTGAAATGCCCAAACCTATCTATCTGCCATAACAGAAGACCAAATTCTTCTACTTCAAGTTAAATTACCACACAACTCAGAAACAACAAGCTAAAGACTAAATAAGAAACAGAGAAATACAGTACCAATTCACCAGTGAAGATAGTAGCAAACGCATCAGCAACTTGGCCAGATAGCATAACAATTGCTGCATCTCTACAAAAGGAAAAAAATAAAACTCGTTTATGATTGAATTATCACAAATCAAGGGTCAGAAAATTAAATGAAATATCACCTTGGGGAGAGACCAATTTGGGTCAAGAATAGGAGGAGGTAAGTGAACCAACAAGAAGCAGTAATGTCATTAAGCATGTGCCCAACTCCATAGAAGAAGACAGACCATCTTCCAATGGGTTTTGTGAATGGATCCTCCTCACTTCCTCCGGTCATTTTCTCAATCGCTTCGAATTTTTAATCAATCTGGACCTGGGAAACCCTAGCAATAGATTAACAAACTCATCAATAAGATCGAATTGAGCTATCAGAAACAAAAGATATGAAAATTGAGCTATCAAACCCTAAATCCGGAAAAAATATAGGAACTTTCAGACCTAGAAAACAGAGGAAGGGGAAAATTTCAAACACATAAGAAAAAAATCAAAGGAAGGAGCTTTCTCATACCCAGAATCAATTTCAAATAAAAAAAAACCCTTGTGAAGAGAGATTGATTTAGAAGAAACCTCAAAAGCAACGATTTTTTCCCCCAAAGGAGGGAAAAAGAAGGCGTAAAGAAGACAGAGAAAAACTTGTTTCATATTGAACACTCTCTCCACTAACCCTAACTAATACCTTTCTTCCAACGTCATTATGTGAGTCATAAGACCTTTTCTTTTGGTTGAAATCTTGACAAAAATATTATAAAATCTTGGAAATTGAAGTGATCAGAGTCCAGCGAGTGAATGATGTACATGATAGTCTGAGATATTCATGCAGTCATATCGGTTTATTTTTCCAGATTTGGTTATGCATACTTATGGGTGAATTTTGTTTGCGAGGATCAGTTAATGGATAGAATGTAGATAGCAATTTGTCAGAGATTCTTTTAAAAAGTTGTAATCTTTTTGCAGGCAACTGGAATCTAACGCTTATAACGCCCATACTTTCTTCAGATAAGAATGCAATCTTTATGACGGTGATTGTGATTTTCTCAACTCGGTTTGGTGTCTCTCTCTCTCTCTTTTTCCTTATTTTATTGCTTACACGAGAAGGCACGTTGCAGCATTTATAAACGCCACTAAAAAAGGAAGTCGTCGCCTGAGAGATTCGAACTCTCGCGGGGAAACCCCATGTACTTAGCAGGCACACGCCTTAACCACTCGGCCAAAGCGACTTTTGATAAGTTTATACGTCATTGAGTATTTCAATGTATTTTTCAACCTGCAACTATTTTTTTTGTCATTTTTTAAATCTTACTAGTAAGTATTTTATATAAACTCTCAACTGTCCTCATATATCAAATATTAAACTACATCATACGAGATTACAATAAACAAATGGACCGTAGATAACTTGTACAGTATGGCAGATTCAATGTTTGGCAATACTTGGTGACTACATCCAAACGTTGTTCGTTTGAATATCACAATGATCAATGATAAAAAAAAAAATTACGTTTTAAGATATGGTAATCAATAGAAAATGTTGCAAACTTGCAATAATTGATTACTTGTCGCAGTTGATAACAATTGTCAAACGAACAAATCTGTGATTTTTTTTTCTAATAAAGGTAGCAAAGTAGTTATCATTCACACATATACATACTTATATAATTTATAATAATAATCAACCAATATTATCACTAAGAAAGAATTAGAGAGTGCAAAGACTTTAAGAAACTTCAAAGAATAGAGAGAGATACATAGACCGACCCACTACCAAACCTTCCGAATAAAGCCAAGTAAAAATGGTAGGCCCTTTAATCCGTTCCCTTTTTTATATATAAAAAATGCAAAACAAAAAAGGGCCTTGAAAGGCTTTGAAATCAATCATAAACCCATTATCACTAGTACTCAACCACAACCACTAACTTTTGTTTCTCCTCTCTTTTTTTTTTTTTCTCTCTCACATTTTCTCTTTCTTTCTCTCACCACAACCACCACTTCTCAATGTCCTCTTCCACCACCACAACAACCACCGTCCACGGCGAGCCTGAACGACGAACTTACTGGTGTCATGAATGCGATATGAGTTTATCCCTCCTCTCCTCCTCCGATTCCTCTCCTCTGTTATGTCCCCAATGCCGTCTCGATTTCCTCGAACGTATGGATCACGATTCTTCTTCTTCTAATCTCTTTGACGTCACCATCGGTGATTTCGAAGAAGATGATGGAGACAACGATGACGAAGACGATGAAGAAGATTGGTGTTTCGTTGATCCAGCGGTTAATTCCGATGATAATTTCCTCCTCGATAGTCCTTACCTTCACCGTCTTCTTCGTCATCTCGCTTCCGATAATTCAGGATCGTCTTCTTCTTCCTCCTCTTCATCTTCTTCTTCGTTGTTGAAATCTTCAGATATCGATTCGATTCCCACGATTCAGATCTCGTCTTCTATGCTCTGTTCCACCGATGATTCAGATCCAGATTCCGTTTTACTCTGCGCCGTTTGCAAAGAGGATTTCGTCGTCGGAGAATCTGCTCGGAGATTGCCGTGTAGTCATATATACCACTCCGATTGCATCGTCCCTTGGCTCTCGGATCATAACTCGTGTCCGCTTTGCCGATTTGAGCTACCTACGACGGCGAAGGTGGGAATTGGTGGTTCGGAGTCTGAGATGAGAATCCGATTATCGGATCTGGCTACGATTGCTGCCGACGGAGATGATGTGGAAGACGATTGGCTTGGAATAAGAAACGCGTTGAGAAGACTGGCTCGTCGTCATGAGCAGATGAGATTGGGAGTGGGAGAGATGGAGAGGAATTTGGCTCGGACTGTTTCAGGTCTTGGAATTGGTTTGAGGAGAGGAGAGATTGAATCAGAGAGAAGAAGCAACGCCACAACGACGCCGTTGTAAGAACGCTTTTAAGCAAATATTTCGAAATTCAAATAAGCGTATGTGTGTGAGTTTTTTTTTTTTTTTTTTTTTCAAATTCTCAGCTCTCTGTTTATTTAACAGATCGGCTTTTTAATCGATTATTGATTATAGTAACAATAAGGAGAGTTGTTTTTTTTTTTTTTTGCTCAATGCTTTTTTACTTTTTAGTCACATGTTGATGATCTCTTTGCTTTTGTCTACTTTCGATACAATTATTGATGAAATAAACGTACGTAACTGTAATGTTTTTTGTTTCTACGTTTTCATTTCTCGACTTTCTTATACGGTGACTGTATAGTCTGTTGATTTGTTGAAAAAGTCGAAACAAGACCCAAAAAACAAATTTGGGCTGAGAATCTTGGGCCAGTGATTAAAAGGTTTTAGGGCTATAAGATGATTAAAACTTGATTATACATATTTCATGTTAAATTTTTTAAACAATTTTGTTTTTAGACCGCATTTTCCAATATTATTTTCTTTATTCTCTTCAAAATATGTATGATGAGAAAGAAAGAATATGCATGTATCTTTTTTTTTTTTTTTTTTTTTGCTTGTTACAAAAGAATCCCAATTGTTTTACTCGGACTTGAGAATAGATAGACCATATTGTTCGACTAGTTATGGTTGTAACTTGTAACTAAAAATTAATAATATTATTACTAGCTCTACTCTGTTTTGTCATTAACGAAATTCTTCACCCTTGATGATATGTCTTGAAACCAGACATGCTTGAAACAAAACATCATCAACTAAAAATAGGATGGTAGGAGACATGGGTTTTGGTTAAATCCTTGTACCACTCTAAAACATCTAATTGTATGAATTATGCAATGATTGAGACATTATTAATTATATATAAGCAATATATATTTCTGCCCTTTTAGTTTAGTTCATGATTTAAATGATATTTTGGTAATCCACAATAATTACACGATACGAAAAACATCTCTCTATTTATATAGTACTCTCCACAACATAAAACAAAAGATCATACTGAAAATTAAGGATTTGACTGAAACAATATGAGAAGAAATTGAGTAGGAACTCAAAGCATCCAAAGAAAGTGGGATAAACATTATTCAACGGTTGTATGATTCAGCACATGGTAGTTAGTAAAGGGAGATTTGTTTCTCTAGTTTAAGGAGATTAAGTCAACAATCCCGCGTATCAACATTAAATAATGACTACTACAATACGATTTTGTTCTTACAAAAATATCATACAGCTATTTCTAACTACAAATGTCAAATCCTTGAAATTTATACTATTACCGAAACACGCTAATGTCAAACTATGATCTATTTTAGGAATTAAATAGATAACTTTGACCTTTAAATCAGTTGATGCAACATTCAAGTAGTGAACAAAAAAAACTCGACTGATTTAACTAATTATACTTATTTTACTAGTTTGGATAAACGAAATTGTCTGACCGAATGACCTCTCCATATGATTTAGTGGCCGCTTTTTTTTTTGGATAATTAATCCTTTTTTATGGGTCAAACATTTCTGGATATTTGATCTAAGGAAACAAAAGCTTTGCACGTGTACAGTTGAATCACATATCATGTGCGAGGAGTATCTATATATCGTGTCTGTTAAGTTACTATTAGGGCACATAAAATTTGTTTTTCTTTTGTCGGTTTTATTTTTATCTAATCTCTTAATTTCTGAAACAAATGTAAAGTCTAATCTCTTAATTCTTCAGTTACATAGTATAAACTTTTTCTTATAACGATGTTTAACACAGACAATAAACAATTACATATTCTCCTTGAAAATTACTAAGACGAATGTTTTTTTATTTATTTAACATCTGTACAGAAAGAGTGTTTTGTATATATATATATATACAACTAGAAGAAACCCTATCTCCATAAGCCATCTGACACTTTTTTTTTTTTGGTAAAGGACATTTAACAAATTCGTCAATAAAACAAAGTCAAATTGGCATCCAAAGGTTAAGTCGACGAGCTATAAGTCAACCCCACATATATAGACATAAAATAAAACAAATAAAACAACGCTCACGCCATCTACTCGTATGTTTTTACTTATTTATATAGCTAATTGATTTTATAATATATCAGTTAGAAAATTAAAAACCATTTTCTTCCGATAGCGTAAAAGAAACAGATCATTCTCTTGGATAAATTACAGTTTATTTAATTCAAATTGTTGTTAAGTGTGTAATGGAGGGCAGGTCCATAGCTATTTCGTCTTATATTTTTTATTATTTTCGTATTCCGTTTCTCTTTAATAAATGCTTTTTTTTATTAACGATTTTGACCAACCAACAATAAAAACTATATTTAATTACATTTTGTTTTTCTGTATATATAGAGACATATAATCCACAGCATATGCATAATATTTCTCGAAACAATACAAAAAACCTCATATCAAAAAAAAAAACCTAAATCTTCTTCTTCTAATTTTTTCGTTTAAATGGTGAGAAATTCAATGAAAGCTGAGTACGATCTAGATCATCTTTCTCATCAAAGCTTTTATGGTGATTATTCAAAAACTTTGGTTCCCATGAACAAGAACTCCCAAATAATAACCAAGGTCAAGCCTAAGATCCGTATCATCCATATATTTGCGCCTGAGATCATCAACACCGATGTCAAGAACTTCCGTACACTCGTCCAAAGTCTAACCGGAAAGCCGGAGATCACCAAAACCGGTTCTAAGAAAAAGATAACCAAAACAAGTTTTCCCGCGCCATCTGTTCTGCCTCAAGATTCCGGCCAAGAACATACGGCGGAGCTGGTCAGCAAAATAATAGGGAGCCATGTGGTGAAGGAAGAATGGGGATCAAGTTCGAACACAAACACTTACTTTGATTTAGATGGTTTGATCGATCTTGATGAAGACGACAACATATTCTCAAGTCGATGGTTTGATCTTCAACAACAATAATTAACTCGGTCACACTTTACCTTAGGGTTTCTACTAATCGTTATTCGTGAGTCCTATTGGTTTTGATGATTTGATCATTTACATCGATATTGGGCATAACGAGACATGGTTCAAGGCAAGACCATGTTCGAGACGGCGATCATCATATAGGTAGGAACATATACATGACTTGTATATATGTACAAATGTTTGGATTTTTTTTATGCCCTTTGATTTATAATTTGGTAGACTGACTTAATTTGCCAAGAAAGAGTGTAGTGATGAGTTTAACTTGATAGACTGATCAAGAGAACGTAAGTTTGAGTTTTGATCTCCGATCATGTGAAAACTCTACTTAAAAATGGTGTAACACCTTGTGCTCACGCGTGCGTGTATTAATTATTTGATGTATTTGTGATTAACTTTAGCGTTGTGCAAGTTTATATATAAAAACGATATTGTGATTGAATTTTTTTAGTTTCTTCATAAGTCGTAATTTATACATGAATTCTATTATACTGAATTAACGAAATAGTAAAAGGATTGATGTTCTTGATACATAAAAACTCTATGGCTAATATATATATTAACTTTAGTTTACCAATATATATATTAACTTCTCAAAACGTTAGAATATGGAAGGTGGAATCACATTTCATAAACATTAAATTAGTTAAAGGTTTCACACAAATTAAACGTCGAGTACCGAAACGATGAGCATCTCTATAAAGCTTTAATTTTAGGGTATCCTTTTGCATAATATTTAAACTTTGAGGGAAAATATCTATCTTTTTACTTATATAAACGTTACTTGATTTTTGATATGGTAACACGATTATAATGAGTTGTAATGGAATATACGTAGCGTTGGCAAAATGATTTTAGATGTCATATATTTTTCCAATCTCAATCATTGAAATATCAGTTTATTATTGGATGACATAATGATCAATAGTGTCATATCATATGTAATGCTTTAAATAATAACTATGTAGCTACATTCATCATTGTTAATAGCCGTGATCAGTGCCGGTCCGACATCTGCGAGTGCCCTACGCAAAGCTTCAAAAAATATGCCTTTTTCATATACTACAAAAACCATTAACGAATCATTATCGAATTTGCAGCTTTCTTTTTTAAAACAAATTTGGAAGGAAAAAACAATAAATTCAAAAGCAAAACTAACAATTAACTTCAAAACCTAGAATTTTTCACTTGTAAAATAAGCAAATTGACTCACATACACGCATAAGAGGTATCACTTGTAGGATTTTTAGAGTTTTTTTTACTAAATCAAAAATTTAGTGTTGACGATAATTAGTTTGTCTTTAAAAACGCATATCCTTTTTTTTAAAAGGGCCTACAAAATCAATTTATAACTTTTGCAGCATATCCAAAACTTAACAAATTTTTAGTTTAAAAGGCCCTAAAATTTTGAGGCCCTAATCGCTGGCTTCAGTTGCTTGGCCTCTGCGCCGGCCCTGGCCGTGTTACATCATTCAACAGTATTTCAAAAAAGATAAAAATTTTACTCATGGAGAATGAAGAATATCAAACCGCCCATTCGATAACGAAGTTTATTTTCAATTATATTGTGAAATATCAATTTATTCGCTCGACAATTTGTCACATTGTCCAACAAAATAAAATTATGTTATATTCAAAATCCTTGGACTTTACCAAGAAGCTACCTTTTTTTAATTTAGCAACAGCAAAAGCTACATATTAAATTTTTTTTGTTAATGACCGTTTTTTAAGGCTTTAGAATCGTTACGGCTGCTTCGAATCTTGCGTGTCACGGATCGATGGAGCTAACCAATCTGAACCGAACATAATCTGATCGTTCGGTTTTCTAAGTGGTAATCAATTGGTTTATTATTACCGGTTAAGTAGGAAGAATCCGTGTTTTGGTTTGTTCACTTGTGTTGTAAATTTATAGTCTCTCTGATAAAAACACAGAGACGCTTGTTCATCACGTTGCAGATATATTTCAACATCTCTCGATTTGCCTCTTTACGTTGGAGAAAGAATCTCTGGTAAGTTCCTCTCCTCCCTTATATCTATTCTCTAGTTAAGCCAATCTCGATTTCTTGGATTCCTGAGTGTTGTGAACAGGTGTGAGTTTTGAAGAATGGTGGTTTTTCGTAGCTTATCAGCCATTTCAAGGCTTCGGTCTCGAGCAGTGAGTAGATTTAGCTTTGACCCTTTTTGTGTTTTGATTGGTGTGAGACGATTTGATGATCAGATCTAATAAAAGCAGGTGCAACAATCCTCACTTAGCAACTCCGTCAGATGGCTCCACTCTTCTGAATTGGTATTTTCTTAGGTTTTCATGTTCTCGTGTTGATGTTTTGTTATCATGCGGTTCAGTTTGAGAACCAAAAAAATTTGGAATTTTGTTTTCTAGATTTTGTGTTGATGTTGTTTAAATAATGGCAATGCAGGACTTGAAGTCGCAGATGCAAGAGATCATTCCAGAACAACAGGTTAGATTCTACGTACTTCGTTGTCTTTTGATTGAGTTTATATACTTTTGGTTTTAGTGATTGACATTGTTTCTAAGTTTAGGGCAGATTTCATGTAGTGAAGCTCTTCTCTTTGTCCTAGTTATTGCCTTTTCTCATACACAGCTTTGTTGTCTTTTCTCATACAAAACTTTCAATTTTCAGGACCGTTTGAAGAAACTGAAATCAGAACATGGAAAGGTCCCAGTGGGGAACATCACCGTTGATATGGTATGGATTCTAATGATTTTTGTTTGATTATAAAGGCTTTGTCTTATAAAATATGTTATTCCCTTTTTATGTGGTTTTTGTGAAGGTACTTGGTGGAATGAGAGGGATGACTGGATTACTCTGGGAAACCTCATTGCTTGATGCAGATGAGGTATGGTTATAATTTTGATCATATAGATAATTTGTCAGGTCAGATCTTGAATTAGAATATATAACATATGCTCTTCTTTTTCGGCATTATTGTGATGATCTTATCTTTAATATCAGGGAATACGCTTTAGAGGCATGTCGATTCCTGAATGCCAAAAAGTATTACCTTCAGCTCAGTCTGGAGAAGAGCCCTTGCCTGAGGGTCTTCTGTGGCTTCTGTTAACTGGAAAGGTTGGATTATCTTAACATTTTTATACATACATGGTTACGGAAATGTATAATACGATAAGTTTCCATCTTTTCGATATAGGTGCCAACTAAAGAGCAAGTTAATGCTTTGTCAAAAGAGTTGGCTCATCGTGCGGCTGTGCCAGGTTTGTAGTTTGTAGTTCACCTCTATCAGCCTCTAGGCTCTGTTTGTTTGTGACCTCAGTTTCATGACTCATTAAAACCTAGCAAAATACAAGCTGATGGTAATTATACACTGAATGTTATGATGTTGCAAACATAACAACTCTGTTTTATACTTAATTTCTATTACAGATTATGTATACAAAGCTATAGATGCCCTGCCTTCAACAGCTCATCCAATGACTCAATTTGCTAGTGGGGTTATGGCCCTTCAGGTGGATGGCTTTGTTCTTTACTAGTTTTGTCTATGTATCTCTTAAAATTTATTAATTTTTCAGGAGCATCTTATCTTGTTAAAATGTTACTCAGGTTCAAAGTGAGTTTCAGAAGGCATATGAGCAGGGTGATATTCATAAGTCAAAGTATAAACTTTCAATAGTTCTAGTTCGTTTCTTGATTGCGTTGTAGTAGTAAGCATCATAAAAACTGAGGTTTTCCTTGCAGGTACTGGGAGCCAACCTTTGAGGATGCACTAAACTTGATTGCTCGTGTTCCTGTTCTAGCTTCATACGTTTATCGAAGGTTAAATTCTATGCTCTTTTCCAATGATTTTGGCTTTCTGGACTTAATTAAATTTTATGGTTTATGTTCGTGATACATTTTAATAACATTGCAGGATGTACAAGGATGGTAGCATCATTCCATTGGATGATTCTTTGGATTATGGTGCAAATTTTTCACACATGCTGGGATATGATAGTCCTCAGATGAAAGAACTCATGAGGCTTTATGTCACTATCCACAGGTTTGTCCTGGTTCTCTCCGTTTCAACATGTCTCGTTAATTTGAATCCATAAGCTAAAGTTTTCTTGTATACAATGATTTTCTTTTACTTTACCAACTCTTACTTAATTTCTATATCATGCTTTTTGATTTTCTACTGGTTTTTGTTTTAGTGATCATGAAGGTGGAAATGTTAGTGCTCACGCTGGTCACCTGGTATGTATTTGCTACACGGTCTTGCATGATACTGCTTCACTTTTAGTTTGTACTCCAAATGTTTCGACCTTATAGACATTTCTGATGGTTCTGTTTTTGGCTGATGATGTTTCTTCACTTAGGTTGGGAGTGCACTTTCAGATCCATATCTTTCATTTGCAGCTGCTTTAAATGGTTTAGCTGGTCCACTCCATGGTTTGGCTAATCAGGTATGTATTTCCTGAATGAATCTTATATTGTTCAAATCTACAAGTGTATATACTTGAGTTCCAAGAATGACTCTTATAAGCTGCTAAACTGTTGTTGTACAACTGATAATTTTGGAATCTTACTCTGTTTTTTTTTTTCGATGGTCTTGTTGTAGGAAGTTTTGCTGTGGATCAAATCAGTTGTCGAGGAATGTGGAGAAAATATTTCAAAGGAACAGCTAAAAGATTATGTCTGGAAAACGTTAAACAGTGGCAAGGTAAACAAAATTCTCCTCTGCTTTGCCTTTTGAAACTAACTATATGTATTGCATGCTAATCATGACATGCCATAACTTGAATTATTGGGATTATGTTTTGATTTTTGGTTTGCCTCTGAATGTTGCCAGGAGACTTAAATAAACATTTGTCTTGCAGGTTGTTCCAGGATATGGCCATGGTGTTTTACGTAAACCGGATCCAAGATATGTATGCCAAAGAGAGTTTGCCTTGAAGCATCTACCTGATGATCCTCTTTTTCAGCTGGTAACTAATTTTTTGCCCTTAAATCTTTGGTCATGCTTTTAAAATTTTACTGGCTCACAAATTATACAACTCAATAGGTCTCAAAGCTTTATGAAGTGGTGCCTCCTATTCTAACCGAGCTGGGAAAGGTACTATATACATCATCATTCTTGTGTTACCAGATTTCTGATTTTATCTGGTTTTATGAATCTTGAAATTGCTGTAACAGGTCAAGAACCCGTGGCCTAACGTTGATGCTCATAGCGGAGTGCTGCTAAACTATTATGGTCTAACCGAAGCAAGGTAGGAATTACTTGTCTCGATTAAGTGTGACTAGGCTTGGAGCTTCTTTTGCTGAATCTTGGTTATAATAGAGTGACCTTCCTTTCAAATATAGATACTACACAGTGCTTTTTGGAGTCTCAAGAAGTCTTGGCATCTGTTCGCAGGTACATACATTCATGCTATCGAGAATTCGGTATTACGGATAAGTATATCCATCACAATAAACTCATTTTCTCGATTTCTTTTTTCTTTCCTGGTTTCAGCTGATATGGGACAGGGCACTTGGACTGCCACTTGAGAGACCAAAGAGTGTAAACATGGACTGGCTCGATAACTTCATGCGCTTGAACCACTAAGTTAATCGCTCACTGTTGTTGGTCGAGGTTCTCTCTTTCATCAAACCAGCCTTCTCTTCCATTTGATTGGGTAGCTTTTGGCACTTTTAGAGAGAAAAAGAACGATTTTTCATCTAAATTTTGTTTCTGCAGAGTTTTCATTTTGGTACTTCTTCAAAAACAATAATGTCAAACAAGTGAAGAAACAGTCTTTCTTAGATTGAGACACCATATTATTGTTACTCAACTTTGGGTGACAAGTCAACCTACAGGTTCAAGCATCCATTGATTTGTATTTGATTGGTCTTTGGTGAACTATCGTCTAATAAACATAAGAGGATCAGAGGATGTCAGCAATACTCAAGAAACCACTCCAGCTCAAACAGAGTGTTTGAAGTCAATAGAAGCAGAGTCAAGAAAGTCAAAGCCACAGGCTCAAACAGGATCTCTTAACAAGAAATTGCTGATGAAGCTTCGTCTCCATCTTAAGAAGCTTCCTTTGATTCTACCAAAACCGATTTGCAATTTTGCGTGAATAGTAAGATGCAACGTGTTCTCTTGTAAACCTTAAGGTCTTTGTATAAGTATAAGACTATCTGTAGACTGTAGTCACAAAAGCTAGAAATGAGAATTTGATTCTGAGTCTTCTTCCTCACCAAGTTTTCTCTAACTTTCAGAGGAGTCGCTGGATCCTGTTACCGAGAATTGTTAGAAACCGAGAGCAGAGGTTTCTAGCTAGGAAAAGAAACATATTGTTGGAACAAATCCTAGCCCTCCTCGTTGGTTCAAGAGAAACATACAATTCCAACTCAAGTACGTGATGGACTTGACTTGCTTAAGCCGTACGGCATCCTCGTAAAACCAAAACCATGTCGAGAAAAGGAACTTGACCTTTACGATATCCTCAGCTCGAACCCAAGTCAATGACATAGAGTAGAGACCTCCTACTAAAGCCATACAAGATTCTTGGTTCAAATATGAGTAAATCCTTTTGCGTTTTCTGGCTTGGGTTGGTCACGAGTTTCTTATTCTTCTAAAGTTTACCAAAAATTAATCTCCTTTCTTTACCTTTGCGTGTGAGTGTGAATTAAAGTATTGATTTATGTAATGATGGGTTTAACTTAAAAGTTTTAAATCATGTCATCAAACCCATCAAGACTTGTCTGTAACTCTCTGTATCACACAAACGTTCGTGTGTACTAAATGCGAATATTTTTTAGTCATAAACCTTTTGTAATTAATTTTTGCTTAAATGGGTGACCGATCTGGGTCCAATCTCCATTTAAAGCCCATATACAACTCACAAATTAAAGCCCATATCTCTTTCTAAGTGGATAAATTCCATGCCCAACCTCATACTATTTACCAACATTCCATTTCTAGCAACCCATGAAGGGCATTCCTGTAAATAACGCAGTCTACCTTCCTTCCTCCTCTCCGTAGACGGTTGTTGCACACAAAGCGAGGTTGGGTTTGACCCGACCCGTTACTATATATATATAAACACAAAATGGGTAAAGCAAATGTGAAAATCTTATATGTAGGTCTATATCATTTCCATATGAAGTGGAGAAATATAGCTAACAAAACCTAAATATTAATTTTTTCTTATTACATATAGTTCCATTCATATATTTAAAAGGCTTCATAATACGAAACAAGAAGGTGATAAGAAAAAAAAAAAAAACAAATTAAAAATTAAATCCCTAAAAACTGCAAACGAGCGTGTTGTTATGAAGGAGGAAGAAGAAGAAGCAGTGATATCGAACGGCATGAACGACGACGACGATACTAACAATATTAACAGTTCCAGTGAATTTGATAACAATCGTATCGGAGACGGTGACGGAGACGATAACTGTAATCTGAATCAGATCAAACAAGTATGGGGAACGTGGGACGAGTTGGTGTTAACATGCGCCGTTAAGCGTCATGCTTTTTCCGATTGGGACTCCGTCGCTAAGGAGGTTCAGGCTCGTTCCCGGAGTTCTCTCATCGTCTCCGCCGTCAATTGCAGGCTTAAGTATCAAGATCTCAAACGTAGGTTCCAAGATTCCGTCGACGTCGGAGAAGAAAACAGCGAAGCGGCGACGGCAGAGGAGGATGAAGTCGGTGAAATCCCTTGGCTCGAGCAGTTACGAAGTCTTCGTGTGGCGGAGCTCCGCCGTGAGGTTCAACGATGTGACGACTCGATACTGTACGGAGAAGTCTCTATTTCTCCGCCGCTGGATCTGAGTTTTTATTTTTTTATTTTTTAATTCATTTTTGAATTTATTTTTGATTAGGTCGCTTCAGTTAAAAGTTAAGAAACTAGAGGAGGAGAAAGACGGAGATGATGGAGACAATAAACCAGATCTGAAAAACGATGAAACTAAACCGGCGAGACTTAACCGGGAAACGACGGAGTCTGACCGGGAGGATAATAGGTCGATGAACGAGTCCAACTCGACTGCCTCCGTCGATAAAATCGCCGATCACGACAGATTAGACGGAGATAAAATGGTTCAGGCTGACGAGAATTCGAGAAATCCAGATCCCGATCCGGTTAATAAGGCGGCAGCGCCGGAGGAGGAAGAACGCACGGTTAGTAAAATATCGGAAATGAGTAACTCGGGAGAGTTGGATGAATCGGGAACGTCCACTGGTCCTGGAAAGAGGAAAGGACAGAAGTACAGAAGCGGCGGAGGCGGCGGTGATATCAAATCGGCCGGTGATAAATCACAGCCGTTGATAGATACCATTAAGCTAATTCGGTCTCATCCCCATGGTTCCGTGTTCGAATCCCGGCTTAGGAGCCAGGTAAGCAAATTGCCTTATTTTTCCTCGATTTATTTTTTGGTGGTAAATATTATAATTAACTCTTTCTTAATTACACATTTTATCTTGTTTTCCAACGATTTTTTTTGTCGTCTTTTTCCAACGTTACGATAATTTGCAACATGCGTCAAAACTCAAAACTATAAAAATCTTTTCAAATAAATTTTCCTTTTAACTTTTACAACAAACAATTACTCTAAAAATTTCTTGCATTCATTGTTATATGTTGCATTCTATTAATATAATACTATTGTTTTCTTATAAGACTTAATTAAGTATTTGGATGATGCTTTATTCTAAAAGAAAATGTATATATTTTATACTTAGCCATGTATTCAGGCCTATATATAGTCAACCTAATGTGTTTTATATATATATACTCAGAACTTATTAACTATCTCGCCAAATAAATGCAAAACTTAATTTGTTTACGAATGTCTTTATGTTTTTAATGGTAGATTACTAGATTTTGTTGTTTCCATTCTCTACTTCCCCCTAAAGAATTTTCAAGGACGACCAATAAAATTATGAGAAATTATCCACAGATTGTCCAATTTGGTCGGGACCACTTCGATAATTTGATAGTTAAACTCTTTTCACTTTTTTTTCGAACATCACCCTTTCCATTTTTCGAATTACGCTTTATTGTTTCTTATTGTTATTATATAACGTATAAGTTTTTCATATGGTAGCAAATATCTTTATATATACAGTATCGATTGTTACCTCGTGTGTTCGATCTGTAAATTTCACTTCCATATCCGATTTTCTTAGAGTTGGTGATTTTCTTATAGATTCCCCCTTTTTAACGTTATTCTTGTTACAAACACAAGGTTTTTCGTTGTAGAAATTTTTTTGTTTTTTTTTTCCACAACCATTTACCCATTTGGTCACACAACACTGGACACCTGGCACCTTCCGGTTGAATCATGGGTTTGTCGTGTCTTTCAAGATATGGTCAACTTATTGACTTTTCAGCCGCCTTTTAAGCCGGATAGTTTTTGGGCTTGAGTTGGGCATCTAGAAGCCCATTATTTGAAGACGTTTTAGTGGTTGTCTCATACTGACTCAGCTCTGTTATCTCTCGCAGGAGACTAAGGATTACAAGAGGTTGATAAGGCAGCATTTGGACATCAAGACAATAGAGAAGAAGGTGGAGAAAGGATCTTATGTCTCTTCAAGCCTCTCTTTTTACAGAGACCTCAAGCTTCTCTTCACAAACGCCATTGTCTTCTTTCCTACATCTTCCTCAGAATCCATGGCTGCTCAAGAGCTAAGAACCCTCGTCTCTAACGAGATGACGAAACGAACGGGAAAATCTGGTCACAATGTCATCAAAGCAGAGGCTGAATCAAACGAACAGAAATCCTCTGTTCTTCCTCTTGTTGCCTGTAAAAAGAAGAGTTCTGCTTCAAAAAAGACGCCTCCTTCAAATTCTAAACAAAAAGATGAGAAGAAATCTCAGGAAGTCTCAGAGGAGAAGACTGCGACTACTACTACTACTACTAGTGCAAGAAGCTCGAGGAGAACGAGCAAAGAGATCGCTGTTGTTGCTAAAGATACTAAAACGGGAAGAGCCAAGAATAATAATAAGAAACAAAAGGATACGAAAACAGAATCATCTGATGATGGTGATGATGATGAGAAGGAAGAGAATTCTAAAACAGAGAAGAAGACAGTAGCAATAGCAACAGATAAGAAGAAGAGCGTGGCTGATTTTTTGAAGAGAATAAAGAAGAACTCTCCACAGAAAGGAAAAGAAATAACGAGTAAAAATCAGAAGAAGAGTGATGGAAATGTTAAGAAAGAGAACGATCATCAGAAGAAGACCGATGGAAATGTTAAGAAAGAGAACAGTAAAGCGAAACCGAGGGAATTGAGGAGTAACAGTACTGGTAAAAAGAAGGCTGAGGTAGAGACTGATAATAATAATAAGAGTTCATCGAAACGAAAACAAACTAAAGAAACAGTAGAGGCTACGGGAAAACGAAGTAGAGAATCCGGAAAAGACAATAAGCAGCCAAAGAAAAGAAGCAGAAGATGAGACTAAATTAGCCTGTGGTTAAGCATTGTACATTTGATGTGCCAGAAGTATTCATCATTCCTCTTAACATCAGTGTTTTGGAAGGAGTCATAGTTCTTGTTAGGTATTCTCATAGTTACCAGTGTAGTTTTTATTTAAACTGGGCTTTCCTTGTTTTAGAGGGTATAATGGACACATGGTGTTGTCTTCATTTATTTGTTAGTTTGATCCATACTAGGTTCACAAAACCTGAAACTCTGTTTAGACTTAGGAAATAAAAATCTCAAAAAAACAGAGCACTTAAGTAAGGCCCATGAAGTGAATATTTATGTGTGTTTTTAGTCCATAATCAAATATTGGGCCAGATCTCATTTTTTGCCAGAGAAAATTTACAATATAATGCAAATGCTCATAGCCTCAAACAGTGCTTTGTAGTTTGTACTTTGTAGTTAAGACCACAGAAAGATAAATGATATCAGTGAATACTTTTTAGTTATTAGCTACAATTACAAAGATTGATATTTATGAGCGAACTTTTCTCTCACCAAAAAGCTCCATAATTTGTGATATTTGAAGTTTTGTTTGTTTGTCTTTATATATGCTCATTGCTCAGATAGAAACAAAATTAAATTGAAGAATGTTCTTCTTTAAGTTGAGGGTATATTACCTACCTAATTCGGTCATTCTTCTCTACTAGTGTTTCTCACTCGACCTCGATCATCTTTAAAGAACAATGTTGGGTCCAGGTAGAGGTGTCAAGCGGGCCAAAAACCCACGAAATTTAAGTGTTAAATTTGTTTTAAATTTTAGTAAAAATCATTATTAATTTTTAAAAATGAATTTAAGTGTTAAATCTATATTACGTGAAAACATGCTGAACTTCGAACACCAATGTTTACGGACCAATTAAGGACATGATGCATAGGCGGCTAGGCGCAGTTAGTTTTCGACCATTTTAAAATTTAACACTTGAACTAATTTTTAAAAAGTATTAATGAAATTAACATGGTTTTGGTTAAAAGCATTCTTACAGCTTAAGTGTTAAATTTATTTTAAATTTTAGTGAAAATCTTTATTAACTTTTAAAAATGAGTTTAAGTGTTAAATATATATAACTTGAAAACATGCCGAACTTCGAACACTAAAGCTTACGGACCAACTAAGGACATGATGCCTAGGCGCGGATAGTTTTCGACGTTTTAAAAGTTTAACACTTGAAATCATTTTTAAAAAATAATAGTGGAATTAACATGGTTTTGGTTAAAAGCATTATTTTCTTAAAGTTTAAGTGTTAAATTTGTTTTAAATTTTAGTAAAAAATCATTATTAATTTTTAAAAATAAGTTTAAGTGTTAAATTTATATAACGTGAAAACATGCCGAACTTCGAACACCAAAGCTTACAGACAAACTAAGGACAAGATACCTAGGCACGGTTAGTTTTTGACGTTTTTTAAATTTTAACAATTAAACTAGTTTTTAAAAATAATAGTGAATTTAATATGGTTTTGGTTAAAAGCATTATTTTCTTAAAGTTTTTAAGTGTTAAATTTGTTTTAAATTTTAGTGAAAATCATTATCAATTTTTAAAAATTAGTTTAAGTGTTAAATGTATATTACGTGAAAACATGCCGAACTTCGAACACTAAAGCTTAAAGACCAACTAAAGACAGGATGCATAGGCGCAGTTTTTGACGTTTTTTAAAATTTAACACTTAAACTAATTTTTAAAAAGTAATAGTGAATTTAACATGGTTTTGGTTATAAACATTATTTTTTAAAAGTTTTAAGTGTTAAATTTGTTTTAAAATTTAGTGAAAATCATTATAAGTTTTTAAAAATGAGTGTTAAATCTATATTACGTGACAACATGCCGAACTTCGAACACCAAAGCTTACGGACTAATTAAGGACAAGATACCTAGGCGCGGTTAGTTTTTGATGTTTTTAAAATTTAACACTTAAACTAATTTTTAAAAATTAATATTTTAATTTTTAAAAATTAGTTTAAGTGTTAAATTTTAATAAAGTAGGGATAAAACTGGAAATTTTTATAAACATCTACATTGAAAATACAAAACGACATTTATTTTGTAACAAAATTTTTAATCTAAAACTACACTTAATATGAAATGGAAGGAGTAGTAAATTTAACATGGTTTGGTTAAAAGCATTATTTTCTTAAAGTTTTAAGTTTTAAATTTGTTATAAAATTTAGTAAAAATAATAATAAATTTTTAAAAATGAGTTTAAGTGTTAAATTTATATTACGTGAAAACATGCCGAACTTCGAACACCAAAGCTTACGGACCAACTAAGGACATGATGCCTATGCGCGGTTAGTTTTCTACGTTTTTTAAATTTAACACTTGAACTAATTTTTATAAATTAATAGTAAAATTAACATAGTTTTGGTTTAAGTGTTTAAGTGTTTTCTTAAAGTTTAAACCTTTATACTTATTTTAGTTTTCTTAAAGTTTTCTTAAAATTTAAACTTATTTTCTTAAACTTTAACTGTTTTATCTAAAATATTTGAAAAACCTTTCTAATTAATTTTAAATCAGAAAAATCAGAAAGTCAAAAACTTTTAAAAAAAAAAAAAAGAGAGAAAAAAGGTAAGAAAGTACCTGGAGATATCGTCAGGCGACTTGTGGTTGTTCTGAAATTTGACATATCACCAATTCTCTTCAATATCCTCTTTGTTCCTCGTAGTCTCCGGTGAAAGCGGCTCGGTGGCTAGGTCTATTGGTTTATGTAAACCGGGAATCAAATGTTAGATTACCCTTGGTTAAACCAGAACATTCTAGTATAAATAGAATGTATCGTTGCAACAAATCATTAAGAAGAATAACAGAAAGATCTTCATCTTCTTCGTTTCTTCTTCGTTTCTTCTTCAAGCCTTCACTTGCTATTAAGGTCATAATCCGGCGAACTGAAATCGATTTTGATTTAGGGAGAAGACGACAGAGGATTGATGGAGATCATATCATTCAATCAATGAAACGATGTATATATATATATGCAGAGATCATCATATATCGGATTTTACGTCATCAATGTCTACTTGGGATCATCATCAGCGTTGAGAGACTGCGGATATCAATGTCTACTTGAGATCATCATCATCTGTATAAAGACTTCGCTCGAGAAGAAGAAGAAGCGAGAAATAGAGAGTTTTGATTTTTTTCTGTCAAGGAAGAATTAGAAGAAGCGTTAAGAGAATGCGTGAGAGAGAGAGAGAGAGAGAGAGAGTGTTTACAAGCAAAGAGGTTCAAAAGAAAAAGGAAATTCACAGAGTCTCTGTATTAAGACTTTCGCTCGAGAAGAAGAAGAAGAAGAAGAAGCTTTGATTTCTCTCACAGGGAAGAATAAGAATTAGCGTTGAGAGAGAGTATTTATTTATAAGCAAAAGAGGTCCAAAAAGAAAAGGAAACTAATAATCACAATCCTTAACGGTCACATAATGATTTCCTTTCTCTGTAATCACAATTAACGGTCACATTATAATTTCCTTTTCTTTTCTTTTTTTGTTTTTGTTTATGTGAGAGAATGTGATGAGTAAAATTAAGGTGAAGATCTCTGGTGGTGCTTATAATATGCACGAAAGAGGTAACTATATAAAGGGCTTCGAAGAATCATAGATGGATTTTGTTATCCGATCCTCTTAAGTATACACTAACCACGAGACTGTCTTCTTTCATGTTAGTATGAGAGAGCTTTGGATAGGCTTCAAGGTCCTATGTACGTTGGGACTGGCTGCATCTTCCGCCGAGAGCATCATAATGATGATGATGATGATGATTGAGATATTTAATCTCTGCTTCGATTCCAGTAGCTGATGGTCTAGTACAACGTTTTTGGTGGTACTTGCACTCCCAAACCTTTTGTTTTGCAGAGAAGAAGCAAAAAGGAAAAGACTTTTGGTGATTAAAAATGCAGTGCAAGGATTGTTATTATACGAGACTCTGTGTACTGGTGGTTATGTTTCTTGTTTGTTTACAGCTTTTGGTTAGTCGGAGACAGAGTAAGAAGACATCAAAACACATGACATTTTAGAAATAAAAAGGCAGAATCAGTTTAAAAGACTTGAGAACGAGTAGTATCTGCACAAAATTACGTTTAGAATCAATAATAAACAACAAATACATATTCAACCGCCGGTACAACACTTAAAAAAGAAGTTCTCTTAATCCTTGCAAGAGGTCAAAGGATCCATCCATCTTTGGACCTGCAATCCTACAGATCGTTCAACTCTTAGTGCAGAAAAACATGAAAGAAGAAGAAGCAAGCTTTGTCTTCTTTGAAGCCTCTACTACTATCTCTGGAATTCTCCACGCAAGCTTTTAAATTGTGTTCAATTACTTTGTGGATTGTTGCAGCCAATGTTGGCTCCTCCTAATGAAGAACCAGTTTATGGAGCAGATTCTGAGAACTTGATTCATACAACAGACATGATCACAACTAGAAAGCAGGAGCCATGAATGTTCTGGTTAGAACCAACACAATCATGTCTAATGGCCCAGTCATCATCAATTTTGATTGTGACCACTACATCTACAACTCTGGCTTTGAGGTGGCACTAGAATCTGCTATGTTCCGTTGAAGACGCCTTTTAAAATTAACCTTTATTGGCTTATTCAATGAATCAACTCAAAAGTTTCCACAAATCCATAAGTGAAAAAAACGAAGGTTAAATGACTCATCAGCCTCTTTTTTCTTGGTTTGGCTACACTGTAATATTGTTCTTGTTGTATATGTTCCCATTTGTAGAGAAGATCATGTCCGGTTAACCAGGAGTTTCTAGATATCCAGTATCCGGTTTTCTAGTGCCATGATCATCCGGAACATTGACTTAAACAGGAGTTTGGTCTGAGGTGCTCAACGAATGGTACTTGATTCCACATTGACCAAGACTTGTAATCACCTCAAAGTTTCCAGCTTTAGTAGACCCATCTTGACTCAATACATGTCTTCTCAGTTCAGCACAAGCACAATACTCTACGTAAGACACATCTACGCCTTTAAAGGTTGCAAATGTAGTCCTTACTCCTTCCCCTGCATTTTCCCAACAGAGAGACATTTGAATACGAATTTGATCGATAAAAAGGACTACTATTCATAGACACTTTGCTTTAATGAAAACTTAGAAAAACAATGTTATTTCCAAAGAAACAAAGCAGAAAGAATATGTACAAAGATCAACAAGACTTAAGAAGATAATGTTTTAGTTTACCGTGAGTGACTAAGAGCAAGTTCTCTGAAGGATACTTATCAGCAAGAGTCTTTATCAAACT